AAATGATGGTGACTTAGAACAAAATGATAGCAGTGATAGCAGTGGAATGGGTAAGAACCCATGAAATTCTGGATATACTGAGGCTAGAGCTGCTACACTGACAGTGTGATAAAGGAGTCTAGAATGACTGCTGTGTTTACAGCTATGCAAATAACCTTTTCTGAGGTGGGGACTGCTGGGGAGGAGCAGGCTGGGAAGGTGAGAAATCAGTAGTCCGATATTGGACATGTTATGTTTGGGTGCCTATTAGATTTCCAAGTAGAGATATCACATTGGCAGTGCATAAGGGAGTTTGGAGATCAAGGGTATTCCCATTATCTGTGCTGCATAATAAACCACCCAAAAATTTACAGGTTTAAAATAGCAATGATTTATTATTTCTTACAATTCTGTGGAAGTTCTGCTCAGCTGGGCAGTTCTGCTCTATGTGGCATCAATTGGGGTCCTTCACTTGGCTGCATTCTGCTGGTGGCTGGACTGAGAAGGAAGGTCCGAAGTGGCTTCACTCATGTCTGGCAGCTCAGCGTTCCGCCATATGGCCTCGCCACACGGTCAGCTTGGGCTTCCTGGCTGAGTGGCAGCCACAGGGAGTCAGCTCCGCCAGGCACATGAGCACGAGAGGAAAGAACCAATACTCTACAGTGTACTCTGTTGCTGGTGTGCTTTAGATATTGTGGTCTAAGCAGGTTTAAGGTAGGCTATTTGGTAAGTTAGCTGTATTAAATGCCTTTTCTACTTAGATTTTTCAGCTTACAATGGGTTTATTGGGACATAACCCCATAATAAGTGGAGGAGCACCTATATGTATATACACTTCCCTTTACACATCTAGAGAGAAAGACACCCTTTTGGTAGTGTCCTCAGAAATGTGGGAACCTAGCTTTTCACAAAACCCAGCAGTCCTCTCCAGGAGTCTCCTCTGGGTTGGATTTGGTTAACATGTGCAGCGGTGAACCGATTCCTGTGGTGTGTGAAACACCATGTGCTGACTGGCTGTGGCAAAGGAAATGAACCCCCTGATCTGTCTGGAGCACATAGGGCCCACTCCTGCTGTTGGTGGCCAGCTTCCCCTGAAGCACATTGGCTGTACTGGGGAAGGAGGGACGGGGAAAGGAAGAATTAATGCTGAGTAGATTGTGAAGATCAAATGAAAATTGTGTGAGGATGCATTGCTTTTTCTTTCTTAAAAAGTTCTTGTTGCCCTTGCTGGTTTGGCTCAGCAGTTAGAGCGTTGGCCTGTGGACCAAGGAGTCATTGGTTCGATTCCAGCCAAGGGCACATATCTTGGTTGCAGTTAGGTTCCCCACCCTGGTCGGGGTCATGCAGGAGGCAACCAGTCGATGTGTCTCTCTTACATTGATGTTTCTCTCTCTTGCTCTCTCTCCCTCCTTCCAACTCTATCTGAATATAAATGGGGAAAAAAATACCCTCCAGTGAGGATTTAAAAAAAAAGGTTCTGCCTTGGCCAGTTTGGCTCAGTGGTTAGAGTGTCAGCCCACGGTCCAGAGAGACCTGGTTTGGTTCCTGCTAAGGGCATGTACCTTGGTTGCAGTTTGTCCCCGGTCCCAGTTGGGGTCATATGGGTGGCAGCCAGTCGATGTGTCTCTCACATGGATGTTTCTCTCTCTCTCTCTTCCTCCCTCTCGCTCTATCTGAAGATAAAAGCAAGTGTCCTTGGGTGAGGATGAAAAAAATAAAATAAAAAAGGTTCTTGCTGGTAGAGATATAGCAGAAAGTGGGAAAAGAAAGGTAGATAAGGGAGGGAGGCGAGGAAAGAGACATTTGGAGGAAGGGTACAAGAAATAGCAGAGGAGTATGGGGCTGGAGTTGAGGTGTGGAAATAAACAGAATATACCTGCCTGAATTCTCAACAGAATAAGAGTAGTATTATTCTGGGGCCTGGAAAGTCCCCCTTTCCCGAGAGCTGATGAGGGCCTGACTGGTTCATCTCTATGCCTGCTTATGCTCAACAGTCCAATAGCTCCCAGCTGAGTGCCAGGCTAAAAATACTTGCTTCACCCTAGATTTCAAGACTCTCCAAAATGAGTCCAGCCTATGTTTGACCTCATTTCTAATGGTTGTCCCTTATACATCTATCCAAATCTATTCACACAAGTCTAGCCAAGCTGGACTTTTGGTCACTGCACAATGGCCCCCTTGCCTGCCCTCCTCCCTGCCTTTTGTGCAGGCTTTTCCTTTGCTTTGAATGTTGCTGTTTTTCCTGGCTGACACCCTCTCATCTGGAAAGCCAAGCTCAGATGCTTGTTCTCTGACGTGGCCTCATCGACCCTTCCAGGCCGGGTACTCGTTCTCTAAGTCATGCCCAGCATGTTGTGTGCCTGTCTCACCTGCTCTATCTAGGTTGTCAGATTCTTGAGGACGGAAAATGTCTCATCCCCCATCCACGTTCATTCTTTATTTGCTCATTAAAAAATTCCCAGCATCTACTGTACACTAGTGCACACAGAAGTGAATAAAAAAAGCACTCAGTAAATATGGGCTGAGCTTAGCGCTGTGGAAACGGGACTTGTGCTAGCTGACGGGACTCAATGAGATACCTTATAGATTCTCATGAAAAATAATCTGCCTTTGAAATTGTGTCATTTCAGTTTTTATTCCAGAATCATACAAAGCACTATCATCTGTATTATTTAGCAGTGGCTTTCGAAACGTTATTACCATGACTTGCAGTAAAAAAAAAACACCTTTTTACATCACCACTCAGGTCACACGTATTCATTTGTTTCTTCAGTAAGTAGGTACTGACCATCTACCATACACTAAACACTACCCTAAGCAGAATACAGTAGTAAATAGGGAGGGAAGGAGGGAAACAAAAATCCTTGCCTTCACACATCTTACTGGTGGAACATACAATAAACAAAATAAGTAAAACACAGAAACAGACGCTTTATGGAACAAAACCTCCTATGACTACATGCTGTCACTCTGATGAAGTGGACACGGTGTGTTCTGCCCTGTGTTACAGATGGGATGGACACGTGGAGAGAGTGTAAGCAAGCCAGGCAAATTCACCCATAATCCGAGGGGAGCATAATGAAACCTCATCTCAGGGCTTCTGGCTGAGTCCACTGTGCCCTCCCCCACATCCTCTCTAGTCCTCACAAGTGCTTTAGTTCCTACTTCTCTTTGATTATGAAGTCTTGACCTGGAGCAGCTCTCCCCTCCTTTGCCAGGTAAAATCATGCCAATATTGCTAGGCCCGCCCACAGTGCTGCACGCTGCAGGGTGCCCTCCCGGGCCATTGCTGCACTGGCTGCATTCTCTTTGTGGCTGCGCCAGCGCGGGCTCCTCCCGTGAACTCCCTAGGAGCAGGCATCACTCACCATCTCCCCCCAGCACAGCGTTTCACAGAGTAGATGTCAAGCAACGCATATGGAAAGGGATGGAATTCAAAAGTGACTTAAGGGTCGGGGAGTGTTTACTAGCCAGGACTGCAGGATTTAGACAACATCTATTTAAAAGCCTAAGACACTAGAAAAGATATCACTGGAAAAAAGATCTTTTTAACCTAAGTTATAAAAGTCACACATTAGATAGAGGCTTTGATAGTATAAAAACTACAATCCAAATTTTTCTATCTCCCTAGCATCAAGTAGATAGATTAGAACCATGGATATAGATCGTGTATCACAAAGAACAGAAACTTAGTCAAATTCAAGAGAATGGGGGCCACTATGAGGAAGCTGGCGGGACCTGAGGCAGGACAGGAGCCAGAGCCCCTGGGGAGCTCCTCAGCAGCCAGAGTAAGGGCACCTTTGCTGTCATGGTGACCGTTACAGTAGGGACAGCTGCCAACAGACCCAAATGAAGACAATCAGTTTAAAATGCTCAAGAGAAAGCATCTACGTGGCACAGCCAAGTCTAGAACTGCCCACTTCTGCTTTAGTGTGGGTAAGAGGGGGGCCATGTGGCAGGTGCAAAAGTCTAGGGAAGGAGGGAGAAGAAACTTTCTGAAAAGGGAGATGAACTTTGATTAAATATTGACCCAAACTGGAAATTTAAGTTTAAATTTTATCCTACCACTATAGAGGATGGGGACTCAAGGCCAAGATGAGGTCAGTTATAAGCAGTTGTGATCTAGTATAAAATATAATTTGAATCCTATTAAAACTAAGTAATGTAGATTTTTTGCTACATGACCTCTAAGGTTCAGGGACTTCACAATCTATGAATTTATAAACATGTATCATGAAAACGGAATTCTCTAACCCATGATTTCCAGACATTATTTTGAATTAAGAGATTCGAATTCTGCAGGACTAGGGCAAGGCAGAGGGACTGCACATTTAAACAAGCACTCCAGATTCTGTTACAGATGTGTCATGTTGAGAAACTGCTTAACCCAATTCCCTCCCCTTGAAGTAATTACAAAGGCTCAACTTGCCCATGTTTCTAATTAGAACAAACACAGACAATGAAACCACACAGGCACACCATTCTAGTAACACCAAATAAGAGCATGTATAAACTTTAAAACCACCACATTTCATGTAATTGTTTTTAATAGCATTTTGTCACCTAATTTATAGTAGCATTGGTTTATAAACGATGTTTCAGACTGGTTGGTAACCTAGTCTTGGGATTTCTTTTAAAGTTGAGAATAAGGAAATTAGTTGTGAGTTAAAGAGTATTTCAGGATAGGTCGACTATAAACTCAAAAGGTACACTGATGTAAATTCTATAAACAGCAAATATGAATGTAACTTATTTAAGCCTTTTGGTTCACATTTTAAAAAGCACCCTCATTTCTTTATAGTTAAGCACTATAAATGGCTCTTGAAAGTCTACCGTGGACATGATGTACTCAGTCCAACTAGTTGGGGCTGAGGGTGAGTTTATGTGACCATCTAATTCAGAGTCTGACTTAGCCTTAAAATCAAACTGCATCACAATAAGTTACAGTCACAGTAGCATAATCAGTCTTCAAACAATACAGTTTCCAAAGCTCTCACCACCCTGGTTACCTTTTTTTTTTTTTTGCTTTCACTTACACATACCTTTCTTTTAAAGAAGTGAAAAATATAAGTTCACCAAATTCTGAAAGTCACAGCTTGTATAGCACTGAACGATAGTAGCTTTGGCATTTGATATTACAAAGTCAATGTCATTACGAATAACTTCTTCATTCTGGGTCCAGGCGAGGTAAAACAGGAAGAATGAGATTCCCAAACGCGGAGTCCTGCGTTATGAAGTACCCGGATGAATGTGCATGTGCATGCTGGGAAAGAGTTTTAAAAAGGCAAGTAAGCTGTCAAGAGTCATAATTCTTCAACCAAGGCATTAAAATTACTTATCCTGAGTGCTTGAGACCAAATTTATTTTAAAAATCAACTCTTGTGCTAATTTTGTTTAAATACACAGAAGATGGACAATAATAAAGAATTCATATTAACAAGTTGCACGAAGTACTCATCTATCACCCATACTTTCTCCCCAGTGATGCTTTTCCGTCAATAAATGAGTCAAAAACACAGATTACGTACTGTGTTCCTTGAAGTGTGTGTGTGGGGGGGGGCTAGCAACAAGGTCCCAAAGTACTCTGCTTCTGATCAACAAAGCAGAAGCTTGAGAAAGAAGGGCAGTAGTTGGAAGGAGAGGGGGAAGGCAGCTGAGTGTTGGAATGTAAACAACAGAAAACCACTAGTGACCTCCTCTGTCATTAAAAAAAGGAGGCCTGTTTTTAGGTTGTCTGAAATGAGATGAGCTCTAATGTCCCTCCATTTCTGAGACTCTAAGGTTTAAAAGCATAGATAATGATTTGTCTGGGAATCTTAGTTAAATTATCCAAGATCAGTGTAATACTAAAACTGTTTATTACTATGAAGAAAATATATTTTGTAAAATGATGGACTATCACATTCCTATGGTAAGAGTCAGTCTTTAAACATTTCCTGCACAACAGTCATGCAGAATCCACACAATAGTAAACCAGTAAGAACATCAAAGGATATAATGGCATCACAAATGTGAAAAATATATGTGCACTGTTACTAGACAGTTCAACCTTTAAAATCATTCTGTCCATCCAAATATCTTAAACTCTTGTGCGCAAGCAATCCCTGGCCGGGCACAGCGCAGAATCAATCATGACCGTGTCAACACCATACAAGATATTTTCATTACTGCTGTTTTGGTCCTTCAAATCCTCTGGGCGTGACTGAACATCAGCAAACCACTGCAATTATGTGTGGAACATTTTTATTGATATTGCTCCACTAAAATACGAAATAGGAATTGCGCTGACTTCCAAGACCCAGGACTCTCCAGTGAGACAGGAACGTCAGCGACACTTTGCTCACCTGCAGTGCTGCCTTCTGTTGGGCGGCAATATGCTGCTGCTCGGCATGGTCCCGGAAGTCCTTATTAAGTGAGGGTCTCGAAAGTGCAATGCTAAAACGGGAATCTCAGTTACTTGGCTGTTTAAGATACAGGCTTCCTTACTTCTGAATCACATCTTTCATTATATAACATATAGGAATTTAAAAAGACCTTCCAGAATACATTTTTCATTCTCCCACAGTCTACATTAATGTACACGAAGAAAACCTACATTATTTACTGAGGCTTCAAATTATACCCTTTTATTGACGATTTATGGTCCCCTACTTTCAAACAGATTTGAGGTACTCCAGTCTATCATAAAGTTACATTCATGATGAAAACTGAAGACCTGAATGTTTCAAGCAGAAGGGAAAGCATGCAAAATGCCCAGGGCAGAAGAGCTGGACATGTTAGTAGGACTGGACATCAGGGTTGGGAGAAAATGAGACTCGAGAGGAAGGCAGGTGCTGGGCTATGAAGAGCCTTGTGAACGAAATGGAGATGCAGACCTTACCCTGGCAGCTGAGGGAGACTCCAGGGAATGTTCTATGCAGGGGTGTGATGTGATTAGAAGCGCCACACGATGGCTCAGAAAGACCACTGTGATGGCAGCCAGTGCCCATCACCTCCTTAACAACTGTTTCTCTGCCTTCTTCCTTGCTAACGGAACCTGAACTTACTTAAATTATCAGTGGTCCCATGCTTCAGGGCAGGCCAGGCTCCTCCCTCAGGTGGTGAACTTGGTGTAAGACAGTACCATTCTCTTTACTGGTTTTTAGCTTAGGCAAGGGAAGGTACACAATTCTGAGCAACTAGACTTGATGGGTAATCTGTTGGAGGGTTCTGAGAATATTTTCCGCACTCTTACAAAAGCAAAAGAGAATAGGAATCTCCTGCTTCTGCCTCCACGGTGGCTCTGCAGAGGTGAGGCCTAGAATACTGCAGTCAGACTTGACCTCCAGAGAGCTGCTGGCTCGTGGAGAAAGGCAGAAAGGAAGCTGGGTCACTGCTGACACAGTTGTGCCACTGCATTAAGCTGCTGTGAGCACCTTATCTTCACATCCCTGCTTAACATGCATCCTAATGTGTATGGCAACTTTGTTGGTTTTCTGTTACTTCCAGATTAAAACATCCTAACTGACACAACTGACAAATGTATTCCAGAGACCACAGGAAATTCAGTGAGGAAGCAGTTACAGAAATGAGGAAAGAAATGACAGTGCCAGGACCAGGGCAATGGAGAAAAATGGACAGATCTGAGACACATTTCAAAGTCTAAACGTAAGAGAATGGTAAATGCTTGGAAATGGAAGTGAAAGGGAATGATAAACAATTAAAGTTCACATTTCTGACTTTGATAACTTGTAGATCTGTACCACTCGCTGAGACAAGAAACCCAAGAATATTAAGTAGTTAGTTAAAGAGAGAGAAGGGAAGATGAGTTCAGTTTGGGGAATACTAGGTTTGTTAGTTTTTTTTGTTTTGTTTTTTTGGTACATGCCCCTAGTGGGAACCGAACCCAGGACTCTCTGGTCCGCAGGCAGAGGCTCCAACCGCTGAGCCAAACCGGCCAGGGCGGGAATACTAGGTTTGGACATCAAAGTGGAGATGTCCAGGAGGCAGCCTGGTGCTGGGGAGCGAGGACTAGGCTAAAGATGCAAATGTGCAGAAGTTATCCGCACATAAGCAACAGGCTGTGACAGTGGATGCGACTGTCCGCTGAAAAGATGCGGACTGGGAAACTGGGCCTAGAACAGAACTCTGAGGAACATCCACATTCAAGAGACAGGCAGTGGAGAAATGTTTACAAAAGAAAGTAAGATAGTATGATTACAGTGAGTGAATGGAAGCCAAGGAAAGAGTATTTTAAGAAGGAGTGATCAGTGCTAAAGTCTCTAACAAGAAAAAGACTCTGGTCTACCAGCTTTAGCCACAAGGAGGTTGAAACTGAACTAGGCTCAAACCTATTCTAGGGACGAGGAGGGGGACACCTGGTAGTCAGATTGTAGTGGGTTGAGGAGTAAATGAGAAAGTGAAGGTGAATGTAGGCAACTCTTTGAGGTCTGGCTGAAAAAGACGGGACAGTTCGGGTGGTGGCTGGGTGGGATAATGGATCTGAGGGAAGAGATTTAAGATGGCAGAAACAACACTGAACAATAAAGATCATTAAGCTCCCTAAATGTACCTACTTTGCAGAATGCTTAAAAAGTGGGACACTGAAATAATTTAAGTAACAAACAAAAATCATACAGAACTCTTTTCTTAAAAGTAGGCTATAGGAAAAATTAAATATCCTAATTAGAATTTAAATATTTATAACTGAATCAATTAAATAGTCTAATTTTTTCAAATCTAACTAGGAAATAAAACAACATAAATTCCAATGTTAAAGAAACAGAGCACTGCCAACCAACTTGAATTATTTTGTCCAAGCTATTTTTTATATCACTGAACATAAAAACCACACTACTCTTCAGTACCTAGCTCCAGGATGATTTGTTGAAGACTGGTTCTGCATTAGTAATTTTCTTTTCTCTTTGTCCAATTCTGCCAAAATTGCAACTCTATTTTTGTTTTGAAAACCTAAAAAAGAGAGGAGGGTTGGGAGAAGAGAAAAAGAGAAATAAAAAACATTTTAGAGCTATTTTATAAACCTAGACTGTACAAACCCAGATAGCAAAATTCTCTTCTCTAACATAATGAACTCATTATGACTAGTGAGTAGTTTCTTTAGATGGTTACCACTTCCTACTACCTATTTCCCAGCAACTGTAACAGCTTAATACATGGTTATATGCAAAGTTATGATGTAAACCGAGGACTTTTAAGACGCAGCTCTAAAGAATTTTAATCACCAAGGTATGGGTAACAGCATTTGTTTTTTAACAAAATCTCTGAGGCCCCAAATGCTGCAGGGACCAACCAGTCTCTATCTTGCACAAACTCTAGGAGGGGAGATTTCCTTAGTTCTCAGTTTAGGCCTCTTTGTGAAGCCACTTTCCTGGAGGGAAAAAGCATTAGACATACTCAGATCAAAACAGTGTTTCTTTTTCTCAACTGTTTTTATTCAGAAATGACACAATCTTTTAAGGAATATATAAAAAAATTGCAGCTGACTAGAAAGCAATTCTGAGAAAGAAATGGAGCGTAGCTGACAGGGTACAAAAGTATATGTTCTTTATCGATACTTAATGCTGGGCTTGATTCTAAGCTCCAAACTTAATGGAAGATCTAGAAAAGCAGTTGCAAAGTCTTGGACCAGAAGCAGTATCAAACTGTGTTTTAAAAATCCAAATTAAACGCGAACATGTACACACTGAGAGTACATACAAAATATATACACTGAGGTTTGCAGCCTTTTCAGCTAAGGCTTGTGCCATCCCATGCCATCCCGCCCGGGACGTGAATCATCCCTTTGTCCAGTGTATCCATGCTGCACGTACAGTACAGTAAGATATTTTGAGAGAGAGGGAGAGCGACACCACATTCACATAACTTTTATTACAGTGTATTGTTATAACTGTTATATTGATCATTGTTAATTTCTTACTATGCCTAATTTACAAATTAAACTTTATCATAGGTATTATGTATAGGAAAAACATACTATACACAGGACTCAGTACTATCTGAGGTTTCGGCATCCAGGGGGTCTTAGAAGATGTATACCCTGCGGATAAGGGGGGACTACTGTAGTTTGCACACCACAGCTTTAGACCTTTACTTCAACTAATACCAAAGCAACTGATGAACAATTCCCTTAATTTTATCAAGGCAATCTGCCAAAGGGGTTTAAAAATTAGGTGCTATATAAATAAAGGCAACAAAAAATATTGACAATCATTAAATACTTTCTTATTTATAAATTTAGACATCTAATAAGGCTGACCATCACAAACCATTAATATCAACTCATCTTTTTTTTTTTTTTAATCTTCATTCGAGGACATTTTTCCATTTTTTGTTCAGATAGAGTGGGAGGGAGAGAGAGGAAGAGAGAGAGAGAGAGAGAGACATCGACATGAAAGGGACACATCGAGTGGCTGCCTCCCGCATGACCCCAACTGGGGACAATCTGCAATCAAGGTACATGACCTTAGCAGTGGTTCGCAACCTGTTGGTCGCTACCCCTTTGGGGGTTGAACGACCCTTTCACAGGGGTTGCCTAAGACCATCAGAAAACACATATTTCCGATGGCGATTCATAACAGTAGCAAAATTACAGTTATGAAGTAGCAACAAAAATAATTTTATGGTTGGGGGTCACCACAACATGAAGATTAAAGGGTCACGGCATTAGGAAGGTTGGGAACCACTGCCTTAGTGGGAACCGAACCCGGGTCTCTGGACTGCAGGCCGATGCTCTAACTGCTGAGCCAAACTAGCCAGGGCTATCAACTCATCTTTATACAATTAGGAATATTATGTAAACATAATAATAACCACTATAAGAGAACTTTTATGTATTAAGTTAAATTTATAAAATTGCCCATATCTGACCATTTTCTACTTTCCAAAACAATTGCATATAATTCAACAACCTTTTATTGGCTTGGTAAAGGAACAGCCTCCTTTAAAAAAATTCATGCATGTTTGACAATCAGAGCACAGGTAGCTAGAGTTAACACCCTGTTACTGTGGAAATCAAGTGTAAAAATTAGTAATTATAGGCTCTAAATTAATATATAATTTCTAAATTAATTCCATTTCTTTGACTGTCAGTGTTCTTAGTCCACTAAGGAAGGCTATGTTATTCTCAACCTATTTACTACCTTATCCAAATAAATAAATCAGTATAAATGATCTGATAATGTATTAGATGGGAAATTCAGAATATGATTATTACCGATTTTTTTTTTTTTTTTTTATCCTCACCCGAGGATATTTTTCCATTTTTTGTACAGATAGAGGGGGAGGGAGAGAGAGAGAGAGAGAGAGAGAAACATCGACGTGAAGGGACACATCGAGTGGCTGCCACCCGCACAACCAACCAGGGCCGGGGACAAACTGCAACCGAAGTACGTGCCCTTAGCGGGAACCGAACCCGGGTCTCTCAGGACCGCAGGCCGACGCTCTAACCGCTGAGCCAAACTGGCCAGGGCTGATTATTACCGATTTTATACAATAGGAACTTCTATAAAGTGATGTAATACAAATTAAGGTAAGATAATTACGGAAGGATTGGTATATATTGGAATGTGTTATTTAAAGGAACCCAGAAGTGAGTTCTTTGTGAAGTGAAGAATACTTTCAAAGGGAAACTGGGCCCTGGCTAGTGCGGCTCCATTGGTTGAGCACTGTCCTGTGGGCTGAGAAGTCACAGGCTTGTGGGGGGGGGGGGGGGCATGCAGGAGGCAGCTGATCAATGTTTCTCTCTCTCTCTTAAATAAATAAAAACATTGTTTTTAAAAGGGAAACTGGTACTCCCACATTTGTATATATGAAGTTGCATATATTTAAGGCAAGTTACATCATTAGCTACATTTTCAACTATGGAACAAGACAGTTTTTTTCCTTTTTTCAGAAAAGGCTAATGCATTTTTAGAAGACAATTATACAGTTACACCTTTTTAGAGATTTAGAAGCACTATAAATATAAAATAGAACATTCTTGAAAAGGAAAGTTAAAAATATGATAGTGTCTAAATTATATGACGAGCAAAATAAGTCACCACATTGGAAAGGGCTGAAGTGCTGTTTACAGAAATATAAACTCCCTCAAGATTAATTTGTTCACAAGAAAATATTTTATACTGTCCTCCATTAGAAGGAACCGGGGTTCTTGGGGAGCACTAGTTCTATGTCTTAGGGCAGGAAAATAATCTTGTCAGAAAGCAAGAATTTTTTTTTAAGGCCCAGGATAGTGCTCAAAGAACAAAGAAGCCAGTTTGACATTAGCCAGGCTGACATAATTGGAACATTAAAGAGAATAATAATTATAGCTAAATGGAACAAATCCAACTTATAAGCCATGAATTCATAAGATACAAAAAGGAAAGTTAAAATACATAAAAATACAGTTGTAAAAAGGGGTAAAATTAATACTTATTTTCATAATTATTTAAGTGTTTTTGTTTGTTTCTCCTAGTAAGTATATGTATGTCTGTATATAAAGTATAGGTGTATACTTCTTTGTTCAGTTATAGGAGGAAGGGGTAGATACAGGGAACTGCAGCTAAGTTAAAAAGTTCCAGAAAAGCAAGTTACAAATCACTGGGACAAACTCTTAATTCAGAGGTAGCATACCTTAGTACAAGCCTGAAGGGTAAATTTGCTTTCCTTCTGGAACATAGATGGTTTAGGGAAGATTTCTACTTGGGTCTGAGGTCAAGCAAGACAACCTCCCAGGAGCTATGCCACCCACTTCCTACATAGCACCCTAAAATCACAGCTAAGAGCATCCAGAGTGGCCCCAAATCAACAGTTCCCACCACTTGATCTGCAGGGTTTACAGTTATTTCTATAAGCATTTTGAGCTAATTATAAAATAATCAAAGAAAAGAATTCATGTTCCTTACTCAGGATTCCACCAGATTTCTCTGTGTATCTGAAATCAGGTTAGACCAATCCAACTACCACCACATGATCACAGGACCTAGATATTACCAATAGTGAAGGATTCTTTTTTTTTTTATTCTCACCCAAGGACATTTTTCCATTTTCTGTTCAGGTAGAGTGGGAGGGAGAGAGAGGAACAGAGAGAGAGAGAGAAACATCGACGTGAAAGGATCACATCGAGTGGCTGCCACCCGCACGACCGACCAGGGCCGGGGACAAACTGCAACCGAGGTACGCGCCCTTAGCGGGAACCGAACCCGGGTCTCTCTGTACCACAGGCCAACGCTCCAACCGCTGAGCCAAACCGGCCAGGGCAATAATGAAGGATTCTTTACTTTGGAATGATACCTTGGAAAAATTCCAGTTTGACAATCTGCCTTTACATATTAAAATTCTCAAAATGCTACTTCAATCAAATAACGTTCCACACTAGGATGGATGCTGAAAAGAGTATGAGACTTTAGCAACTGTCTGCCAAGAGCTTATGAAATTCAGCAGTCCTCACTACTACTGCAGCATGACAGAAGGCTAGATCTGAAAGAGGGCTTAGTGAACACAATGGGATTATGTCCCCTACACCAGAGACATTAATATATTAAAATACACAGATCAAGATTTTTCTTAGTCATATTTCTTTCAGTTATCACTAAAAGATAATTATGGCACTTGACATTCACTATCCATAATACATAATCCCTACACACATAAACAATACAGAAATAATTTAATATAGAGAGTAAACTGCTATAGATCCAAATAAATAAGAATTGAACATTTTCACTGGGAGTCTATAGAACATGATAGGGACTCCCTCTGCTGGTGGCTAACAGCAGCAGCTTCATGACACCATCAAAATCTCTGACAAAACACTAACAAAAGCCCTTAAAGTGGCTTTGACTGTGTTTCGTAGTGGATTTGACTATGGATCAAAGGCAACACTAAAAATGATTGCATTTTATTGCAACTGCTAAAAAACAGTAGCCAGCAAATTGTAAATCTCATTTATTTGTGTTATTAGAACAAAG